TGAGTCGCCGGTGACGGCGTAGGCTGCAGTGGAGCTGGCTGGCAGCTGGTGTGCGCTTTTGTGAGCTGCCATGAGCCACTGTGAGTGGCCGTCCAATGACTGGCAAGTGACTGCCTCACCCGGGAAGAGCATAATGATAATACCAACATTATCATTGTTGGTATGGGCCAGTGAAGCGACGTCCTCCACAACTAGACTGAAGAACAAAAGGACAGCAACTTGTCTGTTCCCCTTCCCCAATTCCCCAACAAAAAACCTTAAAAAAATATTGCTACATAGTATTGCATCATGGGAATGTACTGTTTGTCCGTTCACCAGCTGAAGGACATCTGTGTTGTCTGTTTTTTTGGCAATTACAAACAACTTTGCTATAAACATTTACAGACAGGTTTTTGTGGGAACCTGAGGTTTTGTTTCTCCAGGGTCAAGCCCTAGGAGTAGGAAAGGGGATCGTATGATAACACATATGTTCTATGTTTTTAAGAAACTGCCAACCTATTTCCTAAATGACTGTATGTTGCATTCTTACCAGCAATTATGATAATTCCAGTTGTTTTAATCCTCACCAGCATCTGGTATTGTCGGTATATTTTAAAAATTTGAGGCATTCTAATATATGTGTCAAGGTATCTCACTGTGGTTTTATTTTGCAATTTCCTAACGACTAATAATGTTGGGCATCTTTTCATGTGTTTATTTAGCATATGTCTGTATTTAATTGGTGAAATATCTGTTCAACTCTTTTGCCCATTTAAAAAAATTGAATTGTTTTCTTATTGAGTATTAAGAGTTCTTTATATATTAAGGACACAAGTCCTTTATTGGATATATAATTTGCAAATTTCTCACAGCCTGGCTTCTCTTTTTAGTTCCTTAGTAGTGTCTTGTGAAGAGCAGAAGTGTTTAATTTTGGTGAAGTGCAGTTTATCCATTTTTTAGTTATATCCACATGAAGATTTTCAGACGGGTTTATTGAGATATAAACCATACAACGTATCCATTTAAAGTGTTCAATTCAATTGTTTTAGCATCATCACAGATTATAACCTGTGCAACCTTCACAGTCAATTTTGGAATGTTTCCATTACCCCAAGGAGAAACACTGCACTTCTTAACCATCAGTCTCTTACTCATCCATTCCCATCTTCAGCTGTGAGCAACATCCATCTATTTTCTGTCTCTACAGATTTGCCCCCTGTGAACTTTTCACATAAACAGAATCACACAACGTGTGAGCAGCATCTTTCACTTAGCATGATGCCTTCAAGGTTCATCCGTGTTGTAGCATGTGTCAGTACTTCATTTTTCTAAATTCCCAAATAATGTTCCCTTGTTATGGACAGACCACATTTTATTTATCCACTCTCAGCTGATGGACATT